AGTCAGTTGTATTCTGGCATTTGGAGTGTACTAATTGTGATACTGCAGATAGCAGTAATCGTAAATCTGTAATTTGGGTGATTGTAAGTGCGAATGTGAAATAAAATTCGCTACATCGAATACATCGAGAATTTATTTGTCGCGATATACGCCCGATACGCGACATTATGTTGCACACGTCATATTTGATATTCTTGTAGTAGCACTCTAAAAATCTTTAGTTATGATGTTTTTTTTTAAACCTTTTAAAATTTTTTTAATTAATTAAAATTAAATTTTTATAGTGCTACTACAAGAATATCAAATATGATGTGTGCAACATAATTTACATACCAGACACATATCAACGATGTAGATGTTGATAATACGAAGAATGTGACATTGTGTTTTTAAATGTTAAATTTTAGACTGGGTTCAGTGTGGCAGCAACGTTAAGAGTATACACCTGATGATGGCCGATAGAGGCCGAAACATGTAGTGTAGAAAGAACAAGATCAAGGACATATAATATATATTGTTTGCACTTAGGACAGAGTTTGTATCATTTATCGTGTAGAGTGCAACAGGATGCTTAAATATAATATTGTGACAATTTCAACGGAATTAATTTTGCATTTTACAGATTTTCAATTCAGATTTCTGAAAAATGTAGAATTAGTTAATATCACACACAAAGATAAAATAGCCTACTACCCCTACTGAACATATTTACTAACCTAATGCCAGAAATCTTGTAAAAGTAAACATTTTCTTCATGAAAACTAAACAAGGCACAGAAATTAAACAACAGTCATTTCAAGTTATCAATTTCCAAACACTGAATGACAATGATTCTGACATAAGCCATATACTGAACATTATAAACATGACATCATACTGAAAAGTCCTCTTATTAAAGATATTATGCACAAGTGATATAATGAAATCGTACATTGAAGTTTGCACTGATAAATAATTTAAAACTTCATGCAACCTGGCCTGCACCTGATGACTGGGGCATTGTGTTCAGTTATACACCACCATCATCCTATCCACCGAAACCCAAATACATGGACTGCATCATGAGGGAGGTGACTGAGATGAGCTAAATCCTAATTATATGAACAGGAAAGATGGCTTTTGTCTGAGTCAATCATATAAACTTCTCAACTGCACCCTGAAAGACCGCAGAATGCCTCCCTCACAGGACTGTAGAACTGGGTCTTCCCAAGAGTCCACACACAAGTATGTCTGTGCACACTGCCCTTATCAGCCACCAACTCTGGCCCCTCTGGGCACTCATCAGCCCTAAGCCTCCATCCTGTTGTTCCTGCTTCCTTCCGCTAGCTCTGCTCCTTCATCCTCCACTGTATGCCTGGGACCCAGGCACATGATCTCTTTCCCATACGCCTTGGCTCTCTGCCCATCACACCCTTAGCACTTCTTCCCTGTCCTTTCATAGACCAGCAAAACTGTCTTTTAAGGGCCATGCTAGTTATCCTGTTCTTGTCTCCTATTGATTCACTAGGTTGTGACAGCCAGCGGGCACTGGGAGTTCATTCAGTCCTACAAGCAACTGAATGGTAACTGACTTGCTACCTTCCACTGCCCTCCTGTTTCCTATATTATCTGAAATTTCTGTAATCCAACTGCTCTTTTTGCCACCCACTTTCATGTTGGCATCTTGCTTGGCTTATTCTTCAACTCTGCAGGTAGAAGTAACATGTCTCTGAAATGTCGGTTGACTGTCAATGGATTACACAGCATTATAACCCAGAAGGCAGATCTCTTCATAATCACCACTGTGAGAACCTCAAATTCTGAGGTTATGTTCATACTGGTGTAACAGTAAGGCAACCATGAATGGTAATTAAAAGCTAATATATAAGACCTTTTGTGGGAGTTGATGCAATCCTGCACAAATCAAAATCAGAATAACTAGCCCTGGGATATGATGTAAATGAGTCAGCTGCATTGTTATTAATGTAACCCTGTTTTACTCACCAAATTTAACACAGTTCCAACCTAAATGTATCACTGCTCCATTTTTAGAATTCCTTTCTTTCAGTCAAATTTAGTCTCCACTTTTTACTTTTGTTTTTGTGAAAATGAAATTCATGCTAAGAGGCATGCAAAATCTTTAGTTTGTCAACCACACATGGTGATAAAGCAAGGTCAAGATTGATAAATCAATATTTTTTCTTGCCTGGACTATTATGCTCCAAACAAAGGAAGACAGGAATGTTGAAAACTGGTTCTTGAATACAATCACTGTAATGGAGAAACATTACACGACTTCCTTAATGTCAAAGTTAAGAAAACATAGACTATAACTCTTCCAATCCTCTAATATATACATATTCTAAATAATAATTGTCTATGGCTGTCTGAATAGTACAGCAAACAATAAAATTTATAAATGTTGTAATTCTTTAGATACCAATATATTTGCCCTTGGGCTAGGTCAGAATGAATGCAAACCTCTAAGGAGTGATGCATCTTGTGTTACGGCATGCATAAATACTTTTGACTTTCTCTGATGTATGGATAAAATGATTGAAATTTGTTTTGCAAATCTGAATGTTTAAAGATTTATTACAAAAGTTATTCAACCCTTTGATGAGTACAAATCTATCAGTGCATCCAGCATTAAACATGATGCATGGCATAAGACAATACCCATATGTTTTCCCTGTTCTAGTGTACCCATGTATTTTCCACTTTCCATGTCCTGTAGTATGTGAACGTATAGCAATCGTTTGCTTTGCTATTAACTGGAAATTTGTGATATCTTTTTGGGCCAGACTGCACATTATGACAGATCATAAACCAAGCCAGTGAACAAAAATCACTTGTAGGAAGTGGGCTGTAATGTTGTGTAAGAGAAATACAGATAAAAGTCAAAACATTGGAATCTGACACTCCAGACACTGGTGACAGCAAATAATACTAACGCTGATTCTAAACTTGAACACATGAGTGACACAACCAAACATGACCAGTGGCCACTTCTAACAGTAAAGGCACAAAAAGCAAGTGTAAAAATTAAATTCCACGGAAAACTTGAACAACTGATTACAACCGAAAGTTATCTGACCTTATGACCAGCAGTGGCAGGAGTAATAGGATGTTATCTGAAGATCCCAAGGAACTGGATGTTTTCATCAGTGGATACTGTGACTCTCATGTGTAATGAAATAAATATCACACTCCTACCATCAGTACCAACCACATGAGCACAAAAATGTAAAATTCATAAACGGATTGATAAAACAAAAGACAAAATATAAATTTTCCCTGCTATTCTTATGTTGATGTCTCATCTAAGAAGGAATGAAGTGAAAGTGTACTGAACTACTGACACTCTGACATCAATGTACTTTGAAAGTCAATGCCACAAGACAGGTTTCTCTTAGTACTAAAAATGTTACAACCCACGTCAGTTTTCTTGATCACCACCATGATTAGGGACATAAGCTATATTGACAACTGGCAGGTAAGCCTGTAAAATCTAATAGAGAAGGCGTGTCCAGCTTCTACAAGATAATGAACAGTGTCATATAAACAAGGAGACTAAGAACAACATGGCACCAAAGTGAATAATAGAAGAGCCTTGTGCATGTTGACAAAAGTCTACAAAAACAAAGTGAAAGAGATGGAAAAAGTCAACAATACAATAAGCAATCACAATGTCTGCTTCTGTCATTGGCAATAATCAGAAAATTGGAGATGTGGACATGTTCAACAGGCAAAATAGACCTGTGTATGCACCCATTTTGTGTGTGTGTGTGTGTGTGTGTGTGGGGGGGGGGATATCATAAACGGAATATGTCTAAAACTGTTACATGCAGAAATACAGTAATATTTGTAAAAGTATTTTTAGTAAATGGATGTAACACATTGTAAAAGAATAATCACCTGACAGTATTTTCAAGAACTTTAAATTAACTCTTCAAAGGGTTAAAGCCAAAAAATATGCCCTGATAAATAACACAACATGTGCAACTCTTTAATGACATGACTGAACATTCTGCTTTAATTTGAAACCCTGACATATTTGCAAAATATATGGTAACTGATAAATCTGCCTGTTACTTACCTGATAGCAGGGACATAATAGTTATTAGTCCTCTACCTGAAGAAAAATATAATTGTTCTGTCACCATCCCACTGCAGATTTAAGCCATTATGACCAATGGTTGGAAAATTATTGCAAGAGCACTTACAACAGATGATTTCTATTCATGCATACAGCACAGATATTTAGGCTCCAGTTTGAAGCAGTTTATACATCCAGGAGCTGAACATCCACAATATCCATGTATGTATTAACACACAAATGACTAAAATAGCGCTCTCTGTACTACCTAACAGGGACTGAATTGTTCATAACAAGTGCATCTGCCATGCGAAGGTATGCATAGAGTCCAATAAGAGCAGCAGTTGTAACAAAAACAAATCGAGAAGGGAAACGTGGTATAGCAACATGAGGAACCAAAGCCCAGTGTGGGAGCAATCTGTTTATTTCAGCAAGGTGGTGCCAAATTGTTCCTCCATTATGACGATGTATTCTGGGTGTTCGAGGTCTGTCATCATATCTTCGAAGTTGCAGCCTGTCAAAGAGATAATGGTTTAAGTAATTCAGAACAAATTTTCTTGTTACTGTATCTGAAGTGAGAAAGTCAGGTTAAAGGAAAACACTTACAGATGACCATACAAATAAAACTTTCCTAAATTCAGGTTCACTAATTCAGAAAGATTAAGAACTACCAATGTAGTTAAGACTAATTTTCTGCAAAGGCAGCACAAAAGATCTCTTTCCTTCTTTAATTACATTTCCAGAAAATTCTTCCATTTAAAAATGGCAATATATGAGTTTTTTCAGAGTGCAATCACACATTCTTCACATAGCATATCCTTTTTGAGATAATTACCAATAATATCAAAGTGGATTTCATGAACATATGTACATAGGTAAGTCAATAAGTAAGTTACAGATGGGTATAAAATTTAAACAAATAAGAGTACTGATTTGAAAAATGCTATTATTTCTCAACATAATCTCCCTGTACATTGAGGCACTTGTCCCATCATTTCACAAGCCCCTGAAAACCAGCAGCATAAAATTCCTTGGGCTGCTGTCAAAACCAGGCGGTGACTTCCCTTTGTACAGCTCCATTGTCGGGAAAATGTTCAGCTGAAAGATGAGGTTTAAGAGGGCCAAACAAATGGAAGTCTTTTGGAGCAAGGTTGGAGCTACAGCAACCAGGACTCCTCACCAAAGGCCTGTTGCTCTTGCATGACAACGCGCGTCCCCATACTGCCAACAAGACAAATGAGACGCTGCGAAATTTCAAGTGGGAAGTCCTTGAGCATCCTCCGTATAGCCCCAACCTTGCTCCAAGAGACTTCCATTTCTTGGCCCTCTTAAACATCATCTTTCAGCTGAACATTTTCCTGATAATGAAGATGTACAAAGTGAAGTCACTGCCTGGTTCCAACAGCAGCCCAAAGAATTTTATGCTGCTGGTTTTCAGGGGCTTGTGAAATGATGGGACAAGTGCCTCAATGTACAGGGAGATTATGTTTAGAAATAAAAGAATTTTTCAAATCAGTACTCTTATTTGTTTAAGTTCTATATCCATTTGTAACTTACTTACTGACTTACCCTCGTATATGAACCCCGCATATTTATGACAGTGCATCTCACCAATCTTGTGGGTCTTCTTCAAGAGCTGAGTTTTAGTGACTGGTATCAATTATTAATTTTGTTAAAATTCTGCTTCATAAGTCTCCACAAAATTCAGAAATGAATATGCTTCCTTTGTGGTGTAATTGCACACCGTAGTTGGAGAGAACTAATTTAAAACAGGCATCCTGCTGCTTATAGCTTCCTCAGTATACACTTCTATACAGCAATACTTAAAACTGTAAGTTCCCTCTGTGTGTTATCCTTCAGGAACCAAACCATTCATACAAACCTTACACCTAGATATTTAATCTCATCATATCTTCTTCGTCTTATGTAACTTCCTGTCCTACATTCAAATTCTCCCTAATTCTATGGCGCAGTGACCATGCATGAAACATGAGAATAAACAATTTCACCTCCATTGCTAGTCACACAGAGGAGAATATCGATCCTTAAGAGGTGATACAGTTCATTCCTCACTGTTACAAAATTTTAACTTTTACCTGGCGTGCATTATTGTGACAGTGCATGAGCATAATTCAGCATGCCAAGTGTTACATTTTTCAATGCTAGTAAGATTAAATTCAAGTTAGAAGGTTGCCCGCTCTACAGAAATGGGAAATTTAAAATCTCCTATTTACAGACTATAAGCTGTTACCCCTGAAGTCTGGTAACCTCACTGTACCAGCAGATTTAAAATCCCTATTCCTGAATGATAAAGGTTAAAAAACTGTACAAAGTCTACACTTGGACAAGTCTGTTGGAAAGCAGGGAGCTCATGTGATATACAGATCCCAAGTGGAAATTCACCACACTGTCCACAAAGCCTGGTTATTTTGGTAAACAGGCAATTTTCAGCAACCACATTTTATAAGACAAACTGGAAAATCAACATTTTGCTGAGATTTATTTTACACATTCTCTAAACTGTTCCCTGTTCATATTTTACTGCAAAAGCTATCTACTAAGACAAAAAATGTTAAAATGCTAAACCCTGTAATACATGAGACAGTATTAAAGCACTAAAACAGCAAAAAAACTGTGGATATCACTATGCTCAAATTGCTACAGCACTTTCAGTTAATATTAGTTCCTGTAAGGATTACTCACTCTTTCTTAAATCTCTCCTGTACTTCTGCTTCTAAACTTATTGGTGGGTAATCTTCATACAACTTCAATGCCTGCTTTAGAAGGCTTTCAAATGGGAGATCATCTGGAATCTGTTAATTCATTGCATCATTACACATGGTATAAACACTTAAATCACATTTGGGAACTAATGTTAAGACCAAGTTCAAACAAAATCATGTAACATGCACAAACATTTCCCATTTAATTTAAGATTTTGTCATATTGCCAATCTGAACTTCAAAATTGATGTAAGCTTTATTATGATTTCAATTCATGCGCCACAGCATAAAAATTTACAAGTGAACCTGATTTTACAACAGAACTTTCCATACTCTAATGAAAATGATGATAGAACATGAATTTCACACTTTCACTTTACATTTAAGTCAAAGTTAAGTAATACTTGGAACTTACTTGTGAAAGGAGAGAGTGAATGCAAGCCATATCGCAATCCACACTAAAAATTTCATTACTTCGATGGACCACAACAGAAGCAGCCACATAAAGTGGCATTAAAGGTGGAGAAGCGAGGAAGTAATCATACAGTCTTACTACATCCCTGTACTGGTTCAGACTATGGCCATACCAAGTTAGGAACCATGGCAGGCAGAACACAGTACCGACACCCGACCTAGTATAAGAGAAGTATTTTATTCATACAAGAACAGGTGAACTCCGATATTCAAACATTCTACCTGACAGAATTATGCCAAAACCTAATTTCCAGCCAAAATAATAAATGCTGCTCTGGCATAAGAAGAAAACTCCATTTCCTGCTGCTTTAAAATATATGCTTCACTTTAGCAATGATTTTGTAGGTGTCTGCTTGCCTCTCAATATGTCAATGTTTACACCAATCTTACATTTGAGAGGAAATTTTGAGCATGCAAAGATTTCACACTTGCTCAGGGATTGTCTGTAAAAACAAAACATCCAAATCCATACTCGACAAAAAAGGAAGAGAAAAAATACTCTGTGAAAAATACAGCAATGTAGAGCAAATATTTTTCTGTGAAAAAGGAGAAACTGAAGTCAACCAAGTACTGAGTACCATTTCCACCCAGATATAATGAGAACCCCCTCGTTGGTGTCTCCACCTTATCGTGGTGAGGGGGTTTGAGTATGCCAAGGACTTTGAGAGCTATACCAGCGGTAGCGTAGCTACTGGCAGGGCCTCCCTTGCTGGACAGGTCAAAGGGTAGGCATCAGACGAAGAGAGACACCAAAAACCAAAAACTGATGCCGGAAGCAGCGTCATCAGCAGCGACTTGAAGCACAGAACAAATGATGCTCGAGATGGTTCAAGTTCGTATAGCAACAGGCGTGACCAGAGTGGTTTGAACGGCTGTTGTACTGCGATGTGGAAAGCAAATGGAAAAACTACCACATTATCACATTTCCAAAAACAGAAGATCACATTAAGTGGAGGAACTGTTTTGGAAGAGACTGTGGACCTGTCATCTGACAGATTACTGATCAATCAATCAATCAATAATGAGAAACAAAAAGAATGGGCAACTGAATTTTTTACTTTAAGAAAGCTTGTTTCATTTATGCATCATGTCGGTCTGTCTGTTCTGCACGGACTCACAGTCTCGCATGTTTGCAATGCAACTAAACAGAACTGGGCTGTCCCAAGGGGTTTAAAACTACTGTTACAGGTGTGTCACCCTTTAGGAATTTTCTCATGAAGGCTGGGGTGACCCCTTGGCATCAGCTGAGTGGTTGCTGGAACTATCTAATTGGTATAAGGTCGGTGCACACCAGGCAGTGCAATTACCCCTATGCTCAGCTCTCAGGATTGTGTTATTTTCCTGCATGTAGAGAATATCCTTTTCATATAAGAAAGTAAGTAAAAGTAAAGGTATCCCTGTAGTAGGCCGTGGAGGCCCACAGGGTTGGGAGATGTCAAGGTTCCCAAATTTTCTAAACAATCGGCTCATAGATGGTGGCAACGTTGTCAGCCCTACAGGCTGGCCACCCTTTACCCCCAAGAATATTCCAAGAATATTCCTGGTACTCATTTCTGTTAAAGGCTGAGTCAACCCCAGGGCCATAGTACAGCTGAAAGGATTAGGTCAATTAAAAAAAATCCAATGACCTCAGCGGGATTTGAACCCACTACCTTCCAGCTTGTAGCATAGTGCCTCAACCAACTACGCTACCTCGTGCTCCTTTTCATATACAAGGTGGTTCAAATATGACCAGGAGTGTGTAAACAAGCCACACTGCACAGCAGCTTTGCGACCTTGAGAGAGTGAAGCCACAACCTCCACTCTCCCTCCTGTTTGGGTTAGAACCTGTTCAGTCCTATCTGGGAGTTGATAGAGTGATGAGCGAACAGAAGGTACCATGGAGTGTGGAATAACACATTGTGATCAAATTCCTCGTTGGAGAAAAGTCCCGTCCACTGAAATTCACCACAGACTCCAACAACAGTAAGGGGAAGAGTGTCTCTCACGGACCCATGTGTTTGAGTGGTGTAAGTGCTTCAGAGAGAGCAGAGTGCGCATGGAGAATGAACTGCATGAACGTCGGCCCCGAACATCCATCACCGAGCCAAACATTGATTGTGCAGACACGCTTATTTGTGAGAATAGGCACATCACTATCAAGGAACTTGGAGAAATGCTGTCCATCAGTGTTGGTAGTGCAGAAGACATCGTGAAATACCACCTGCACTATCGCAAGGTGAATGCACGGTGAGTACCAAGCATTTTGATGGATGTGAACAAAATGATGCGCATGCAAGCTGCCGGTCATCTTCTACAGCAGTTTGAAGATGAAGGTGATGCATTTTTGAAGTCTATAGTGACCGCTGATGAAATGTGGGTGCACTACTTCATTCCCGAGTCCCAGCAGTCATCACGCAAGTGGTAGCATCCCAGTTCTCCCAAACCCAAGAGCGTGGAGAAGCCGTTCGGCAGGAAAAGTGATGGCAACGTTCTTCTGGGACTGGCAGGGGGTTATCCATGTAGACTTTCTGACAGATTCCAGAATAGTCAATGCAGCTTATTACTCAGACCTCCTGGCAAAAGATGTGAAGGAAAAGATCCAATCCAAGCAGAAGACAGGTGTAAAGCTAGTAGCCTTCCTTCAAGACAATGCACACCCCCATATGGCCAAAACAACAATGGAACCCTCCGGAAATTGAAATTGAACCTTCTGAGGCATCCACCGTACACTCCCGATTTGGCCCAAAGTGATTTCTACCTGTTCGGAAGGCTCAAATCAGACTTGCAAGGCATGCGGTTTGTGGACAACGCCATCATCCAGACTGTTCGGGAGTGGATATGCTGCCAACCACAAGCCCTTTTTTGAAAAGGGCATCAGGATGCTTCCAGAACGTTGGAAAAAATGTGTTGACTCCAGAGGGAAGTACATTGAAGACTGACATGTGCAAGTAAGTGTTTGGCACTTCATCATCATCATCATCAGTAATCTGTCAAGACGACAGGTCCACAGTCTCTTTCAAAACAATTCCTCCACTTAATGCGATCTAGAGCTTTCTCCTTCAAATGACAGTATCCTCTTTCCCCAAGGTCATCCAGCATCTTCTTACGTCTTCTTCCTCGTCTTCTTGTCACTTCTATCCGCCCATCTATCTTTCCTTCGATAGCTTCTTTTAGAAGGCAGTTTCTGCGTAAAACATGACCAATCCAATTAGCCTTCCGTTTTCTTATTTCATGTAGGATATTCCTCTGCTCACTGACTCTAATTAACACTTCTTCATTTCTCACATAATCGGTCCAACTGATCTTCTCCATTCTTCTCCAACACCACATTTCGAAACTTTCCAGATGTTTCTGATCTACTGCCCTAAGTGTCCATGTTTCAGCCCCATACAGAGCTATGCTCCAAATGTAGCATTTCACTAGTTTCTTCCTCAAATTTAAGTCCAATTTGCTGGTAAAAAGATTCTTCTTCTTGCTAAATGCAGCTTTTGCCATGGCAATCCTGGATTTAATTTCACAAGTACACCTTCCATCATCTGTTAACAAGCTACCCAAATATTTAAAACATTTCACATTCTCCAGTTGTTTTTGGTCTATCTTTATTGTGACTGGGGTTGGTTGTGTTTGGCACTTATGGTTTAAAAAAAAAAAAATCAGTCCCGGTCATATCTGAACCACCTTGTATAACATTTAATGTAAGAAATTTTCTAACTTTTGGAACTCATACCTAAGTTTAGTATGACTGTGGTTGACGTAACAGCCAACATTAAGATTTTCTACCTGAAACCACTGCTGCACAACTGGTATTTATCTACATCATCAATTAATTTGATATTATGTAACTGTAACTATTTGTTCAGAAATAGTTTATTTTAATAACTTATATAAACAAATTATTCTAATCATAATTATATGATAACATTGTGACGTGTTGCGCAATGGAGGAGACCCCTCCCTCCCCAGCGGTACGTGACGGCATCATAGTGCTGTCGTTACTATGGTAATAGGCAAGTCAACACCCCGCCCCTCTCCCCGCGGTGATGTAACACGCAACGCCGCAATTGCTATGTACCCATAAACAACTCCCACCAGCGTTGCTACGTAACAGGCAAACACTGCGACTATATAAGGGAACTACACAGCCGCCGAAGACAGTTCTCAAGTCGGCAGTGAACGAGTTAGTGTGTGATCAGGAGTGACACAGTTGGAGTATAGCAGCAGTCGTGGAAAGAAGAACCGGACATGTGTGTAATTGGGAGTGTGTGATACAGTGAACTTGTATAGCTCCCGTATCAAAATTAATACGTGTAGACTACTGAGGACTGAGTGGATTATTCCAAATAGGGTTATAAAGTGTGAAACCCCGCAACAGTGTTGTAATTAATTGTAGCCAATACTTGTAGGTTGTTAAATAAACCAATTAACAATCCGAACGGCGTCTTCAGTAACTAAACACGTTACAATATTATATACATAATTATATTTAGTACATCTTACAAGAACACAAAATTTCTTGACATAATTTTCCTTGAGCCCCATATAGTGAAAAACTCAAGTTAGTATAAAAAGGTCAGTACCCCAGATATTCAATAAATAGGAATTTCACTGCATCCGGTTAATCAACATCTAAGAAAGGCCCCAAAAAATACACATAAAAGTTCAAACAGATCTTTACAATGAACAATAATGAATCAAAACAGCAGTGACTTTACAAAATTTAGCACAGATATAGATATTTAGTGCAAATAAAATTGGTCCAGCAGTTCACATGCCCACAGTAGTAGAAAAACTGAAAGGTGTATGGACATCACAAACTAACAGGCAATTTTAGAACTTTTCTCAAAATATACATGAAAATACACTCAAGTGCCAAGTCATGGGATAGCAGTATGTAAATTTATTTTTAAGCGGTGCCACCATCCCTTGATGGCTTGGGAATGCCCTGAGCAGTATCAGTCGTGAGGTGTTCTCTTGTGAGTCAGGTTGAACACCAGATATTCTGCTCATGGCAAGCTGACGTGAATTATCGGAGTTTGAACAGAGCATGATAGTGGGTGCCAGGCGGATGGGACATTCCATTTCCAAAGTTGTGCAGTCATTCAACATTCCTCGATCCACGGTGTCACGTGTTTACCGGGAATACCTTGTGGAAGGCATTTCCACCCACTGTGGACAGCACAGTGGCCGACCATGGGTGCTTAATGATCGTGACCAACAGCGTCTAGCCAGAATTGTCCGTGGTAACAGACAAGTGACCTGAAATCACATCCACATTCAATGCAGGAGGTACCAGTCACATATCCATCAGGTCAGTGCAGCGTTCTTTAGCTTCCATGGGATAGGGGAGCAGAAGACCAACCAGAGTGCCTCTGTCAACACCACGACACTGGACACAGCACCTCACCTAGGCTTGTGACGTCGCTATTGGACCCTGGAGGATTGGCAACATGTGGCGTGGTCCGATGAGTCATTGTACCAGTTGTTTCGGGCAGATGGTAGGGTTCAGATGTGGCGCAGACCACATGAGGCCATGGACCCCAGTTGTCAACAAGGCACCGTGCAGGCTGATGGTGGTTCCATACTGGTGTGGGGTGTGTTCACGTGGCATGAGTTAGGTCCGCTTGTCCACCTAAACACGTCATTGACCGGTGACCGCTATGTTAAACTGCTTGGTGACCATTCGCAGCCCTTCATGGACTTCATGTACCCCCACAACGATGGATATTCCAGCAGGACAATGCACCGTGTCATCGGGCCAGAGTTGTCCACAATTGGTTCGAGGAGCATTCTGGAAAGTTCCGACGAATGGTGTGGCCACCACGTTCACCTGACATGAACCCAATCAAGCATTTATGGGACATGGTGGAGAGGTTCATTCGCACCCAGAATCCTGCACCTACAAATACCAGGGAGCTGTGGGCGGCTATCCAGACAGTATGGCTCAACATCTCTCCAGAGGTCTTCCGTCCACTTGTGGAACCGATGCCATGTCGAGTTCTGCACTTCGCCGGGCTAGAGGGGGTCCTACATGATACTAGGTACCTATCCCATGACTTTTGGCACTTCAGTGTATATACCAATGAATTTGGTCTACATATAAGTACAAGGCATGAAATGTATCATCACTCACCTAAGCATTACCTACACTATAAAAAAAGTAAATGTGTTCACACACATATTGTACACAAACATCTTTTTCAAGAGTGAATACTAAGAGAGACTTGCTAAGCTCAAATTTTAAAGACCGAAATAAAAAAAAAATAATTTCATGATCTTTATTGGAACATTCACTTCTCAGCTTCAAACATTCTTTTAAATGTTACCAAAGGACTTGTTACCATGAATTTGGATGCTAAATATGTACGTGAGTGTGTGTCTGAGAGAGAGAGAGAGAGAGATTATATGATGTTTTTAATCCATTTTAAACTTTCAGCGTCTTCATGACAAAGCTTAAACAATTATGCTAAGAGAGTAGCAAATGAGACAGGAGTACGTTTCAAGTCAGAAGCCAAGTGATGCCACAAGGTTGTCTGACGTAGAACCTAAGTTAGGAAAAAGGAAATGTTTCACCAATTTACATTACAATATTCTGAGCTAATGAAAGTGTCCCTCACCATAAAAATATCGGATCAAGTCAAGAAAAAGGCAGTAGTGTCAAAAAGTATCAGGCACTGCGGTAACACTTTGCACTTAAAAGATTACAGTGACTAAACACGCAGAATAAACCAAAAATTGTGAAGTAGCAAGAAGATATAACATCTACTAAGGAAAACAAATGAGGTGGAAACAACAGAAACTTTATGCCGATTCTATGTAAATACTGTCATTTGTATGGTTTCAAAGCCACAATTGAATGTCAGTTTTTTGCAACGTCATTACCTAATATGTGGCAGGAATTTAAGTTCAGCACTACATGCTGTGTACAAGTGATGCAGAGGACAAAGTTTCCTTTATGGCAAAGTACTTAATTTTGCAAGAGATTACCACCACACTTTGAGAAAATACCAGGGAAACTCCAATGTATTTCGACACACCATCCAGTTACAATGTCGACTACATGGACGCTAATTCTGTTGTCATGAAAAAAATTGGAAAAGAAAAGATGCAAGTGGCTGTAACGGGGACAGAGCTGGCAGAGAGCACACAGCTATCACCCTTTGTTAGACTGAACTGAAGAACTATGCCTGATGAGCAGCTGCCTACAGATCTAGTGATCAGGTGTTAAACTATTGGATGGATGACTAAATGAAGGAATGGGTTACAAATTGTTTGGAACATGAGATCAACAGTACTGTTCAGAAAGCAAGGAACACTTATGCTGTATGCATGTTTTACGTACAGACAGTTTCCTTGTGCATGGTTGCCTTACATATGTAAGCATCTACAATTTTGGTAAATACAGCAGTATATTTCAATGCACTGTAAAAAAATGGATAGTTTTATAAATTACTTTAGTGGAAAGACTGATGAAATGTACAATTTCTCATTCTTGTCTAAATTCTCAAACTTTTCCAAATTCTTGTCAAAAACTGGAAAAGACATTCTTGCACATGCCTTGTATTTATGGTGTGACATTCACTTTTCCGCTCACATAACTTTTGCTCCTATGTTAAATTTATTAGAATGCAGTTAGTGATGTGGTCCTCTCAGGCAGCATACAAAATTTTAGCCAGAACAGACCACTTGGGAGACCCAGGTATAGACAGGAGAAATAAGATGTGAGGGAGTGAACTGGAATCACCTGTAGGATTTAAGATTTTCACAGCGGTGACCACGAAGAATGCCATCTTCTGGGATATGGCGCCATGTATATCTTGTGTGAACAAATGTTTCAGAGGAATATATCACTGGATGTTTTCAACTGGTGGCTCAATCTGCTATCCACCTGCTTATGCAAACTCTTTGCTCATTGATTTTCTACCCCTAAGATGGAGACAATACGTTCCTCCAAAACATCAGTTCACACAAGACCTACACAGCATCCCACAAGGCAGCATTCTGGAATCATCTGGTTCAGGATAGGGGCTAGTGGCAGGCTTTTGCGAGTATGGTAATGAACCTTTTCACTCTATAAATGGTGAGAATTTATTGGCCAGCTCAAAAACTATCAGCTTCTCTGGGGTTTACTTCTAGATTAATCCTTATGATAACTTTTAACAGACTTCCTGTGTCTAATTCATCGTGTTATCTCATAAATTGACATGATTAGCAAGGACCAGTACTTGATGTGTTCCATTACAATATTAACTATAATGATCTCCTTGACCCTTCCTAATGGCATAATCTAAGGCAAAGTACAAAAGTAATGATATTAAGTTTTTTTATGAACAAAAAATTAATACATAAATATATTTCTAATTATATTCCTATTCTGAACAATTTAATTTCTTACCTTTCCATATATTCATATAATTCTGGATGTACTCTATATATAAGAGGGTAAATGTAATTAAGCAAATAGGATGTCCTGTCCATAGTAGGCTCCATACAGTCCTTCAAGTGTCCAGTGGACAATTTCTCCATGATCTGGAATGCAACTGCTTCTCCAACCACTAACAGGAAAGTTACTGCCACATCATGGTAGCCCTACACACAAGAACCAAATATGCTCCAGAACAACTGTTAAATGTTGAATTCAACCAACAACTAACTGGACACAAAGAAGTAAACAAAAAATAATGAAACAAACATTAAAATTTAAACCTTTAAGACTTTTCCAGCAGTATGCTTGCCTCTGCATGCACAAATCTTATATGTAAGCTGGGTCCTTCCTAACCATGCTGATCCTGCTGCTTGAGTCATAAAAGCAAAATGGTCTATGCTCACAAATCTTTCTGCAGAACTTTATTGTGACTGCTTCATGATTTCCAATCCCACATTATTCACTAGTCCTGCTGCCATATTTTCCAGAAATGTAAAGAGCTTCTGTTTGGTTCTCATTTGATGCAAAATGCATGCATTTACTAGGGCAAGATCAAAGAAATGAAAGAACATTTTTTTTTTCCCCACTTCAGAGGCTTCCAGTGAACAGAATAACATGGCAGTAATTAATCCAGTTTGTTGACACCATCTTGTATTTGTTACAAAATGTTGTTGATAGTGGTTTTACTTTATCATGGGCTTACCTTGATGCTCAACATCTGCTGTGCTTAGTATGTACACATCATTTACATCTCACAGCTTGATTGTGAGTATATGATCTCCCTGCACAGGAAGTTTTTCGCTGATCTTGACTGAATTCATGGCGTGTATTATCAAGGTCCCCTCTTATGAATGACCATCAGCACTTATCACATTAAATTGCACTAAATACAACAGGATCTGTTGTGATAAGCAACATGGTTATTCATAAGACATAACCTATAAAGTTTTAATTTCCCCCCCCCCAAATAGATATTTAACATTTCTTTTCAGTCTGCCTCAGTATTTGAGTGGTAACCTGCTTGCCACTGGATTCAACATGTTCAAACTTGGCTGATACTGACATTTAATGGCAATAAAAATCCACAGCATAACTTCCTTCAAAAGGGAAGTAAAGCCTGGGGTCCCACATCATATACTTATGGCAAAAAGTAAAAGTAAGTAGATGTACCCCTGTAACACACACTGGAGGCCCATAGGGTTGTGAGATGCTGAGGTTCCCACATTTTCTAGACAATCAGCTCATAGACGGAGGTAAGGTTGTCAGCCTTACATGCCAGCTGCCCTTTACCCCCAAGAATATTCCTGGTACTCATTTCTGTTAGAGGCTGAGTCGACCTCGGGGCAATAGTGCGGCTGGAAGGATTAGGTAACATATACTTTGGGCAGGTAAAATAACTTTTCATTCATAATAAGAGATGAGTGAAGGCAAAAAGATTCCATTTTCAATCACCCACAAAGCCTCCTACTCTGCTCTCAGATGCTGCTATGGTTGCATGACTTCAGAGACCTCTGATAGACAAGAGTGGGAACAACTTGAAATCACCCAACATAGCTGGACTGCACAACTGAATAGCGTAAATTGCCCGAGTAGTCTCTAAAGTGAAAATGAGTTACAAATAACCAGCTGAGGTTAAAAGCACAAACACTTAACTGTCAAAGTGAGTTACAAATAACCAGCTGAGGTTAAAAGCACAAACAACTTAACTGTCAAAGTATAGAATTACAAACCGACCATATTTCTTTCAAGTCAATCATCACAGCCCCAACTGCTTTTGTTTTCAATAACCATAGATGACCAAAAGTGTAGGACTCATATCACATCTCCATATACACTATGTCTGGCACAATGGATGAGTATTTGTACTGTGTACACTTTTAAAGTATTGCCTTCAATTTTTTATTTTCATACAGATGCACATATGTATGCATGTATATAAGGGGTGGGCCACAAAAACCGGCCCCCACACTGTGACCTTCAATGATCTACTGTGCTTACCCTTGGATTAGCCCTTTATTAATCCTACACTTTTAATAAAGTATAGGACCCTGCTTATGGGGGCATCATAAAAGTCACTGGGTTCCATAAAAAACTGACCCAAATGACGAAATCTTAAATAAGCTATGGCCTCACAATCACACAGGTACAGATGCACTTCCTTATGACTTAAAAGTTTACCTGATAATATTGAAGATGAGGATATTTGATGATAACTCTGAGAATAAGCCTTGTCAGCTGATCTTGTAATGCCACTCTCTGTTCATACGGAATGCCTAGAATAATGTGAGAATCCACACAAACATGTAGTCACAACTCAAAATAGAAGAAAAGGTAAAACCACAATATATGTAATGTACTGCTTGATAAATAACTTGTACAAAATGTAAAGGCAAAAACTGTTCAAATCTAGAAATAAATCACACTGCCTAACATTTAAATTAGATGGGTGGGAACATCAACTTCAAGCAAATATGAACACCTATAGGCACCAACATCACAAGTAAATATAAAATATTCATCCATCAACACAGTGGTCTAGCAGTCAGCATAGAAGACTGGTATTTAAACAGGTTCTTTGGTCTGGCACTGAATGTTGTCATTAATACATAAAAAATTAATTTTAAATTCTGAAAGTGTTATAATATTTAGAAGAACATGCAACTTTTCTTCAACCAATCTTGGCATAAAGAATTTGGTATGATGATGGATAGTAAACATATTTTCAAATACTGTATGAAACATTCATTTTTGTCCACATTCAGCACAAAAGGTAATACCATCATGTCCATTTTGTGTCTGTTACCCCTACTGATTTTTAAACCAAAAGACAGAAGGGGAACTTCTGAGGCAAACTAACACTATCACCAATAAAGTTAATCCCTGTGCTTAAACAATTAAGCACCTCATCAAGAAGACACATGAGGGAAGGGCACTAGATGGAGGTGAACAGTCAGCTTGGATCTTTAAAAAACAGGAAACTCTTGGCAAATTAATTTCTTTGTAGACTCTAACACAATCAACTGGCTGCTGTACAAAATCAACATTTAGCATCCAGTCTGCCTGCAACATGGGCCACTGGAGCTAGCCATACAGAAGTATTACTATTTTCAGTATTACCAACTTACAACTTGGTAACAAATGTGAATGGTACAGACAGAAGAATTACTCTTCTCAAGCTGCTGATTGTACAAGGGATCAGTGATGTTAAGCAGATGGAAATACATACAGCTGAGCCATTAGTACCTCAGCCTGATCCTTCTGAGGCTGATATTGCTACTGCAAAGTTGGAAGGGTATAGATCATCATCAGGTACTGTTAAAAATTCCACCAGAAATGATTCATGCAGGAAGTGAAAAATTATATACTGAGAACCACAATCTCATTAATTCTATTTGGAAAAAGGGGGAATTTCCTTGGCAATAGAAGGAGTCTGTTATTGTACATACTTACAAGAAGAGTGATGAAGCTGAATGCAATGATTATCATGGCATATCAATGTTATACTGTATTTAAGCATACTTTTGCATCACCATAACTAAAACTGTTTATGTACTACACAGTCTGTCACAAATGCAACAATCTGTTTCTTGTTTCTTCCACTTTCACTTTTTTTTTTTGGCCAAATGGCCATTTTACTATGCTAAAACTGCTACACTGCACTGTATTATCCATTCATTACATATGCAACTGCATGCATCATGATTCAAACCATCATAATTGTGGTCCAACTGGTATATGCTAAAAAAGCACATGCTGTTGTTCACATAATTTAAATCATATAAAATATATTAAAATTTTCTATTAAAATTTTTTTTTCCTTTTAATTTTGTAAAATTCTTATTACACCTCACAAAGGGGCATCATCCACTTGTTTAGATCTGTGAAGACACACGCTGCTAGGGGGAACAATGCACAAGCAAGGGGCAAAACTACAGATTGCAGATGTAACACAACAACGGTCTTATGAACAGAAAAACAGGCTGCTGCAATAAAACATCTGAAGAAAAGAAACAGATAACAGATTAAAATGGATCAGAGAGAAACAGGATGGAGGTATAGACTGGATTCTTCTGGCTTAGGACAGAGACCAGTTGCTGGTTCTTGTGAACACAGTAATGAACCTCCAGGTTCTATAAAATGCTTGGAATTTCCTGAGCAGTCAAACAACCTTTGGCCTCTCGAGGACTTGGGTACAGTGAGTCACTAGTTAGTTAGTTAGTTAGTTAGTTAGTTAGTTATTGGAGAGGGTGGGTTTCCCCATGCACTGAGACCAGTATTGGTACATTGTGCTTCCCTCTATGATATTCTATCAGTCTCTATACCCTACCAATATTGGTGCGTACCATCAGTCCCGACCAAGCCAGCGAGTTTGGCCTCTACTGGCTTGGCGGTATCTATAATGCTTCCCCCACCTATCAGAGGCGTTAGAGACTGCTGTTGGGCGGGAAATGTCCTTGAATTTAGCTCAGTGACCTCCTTTGGAGATATGAGGTTCTTTTACATGCCGTAAAGCTACGACATGGGACCCACGGCTTAAAGTCCCTCCCGGAGGACTTGTTCCCTGAATTTTTTTTGCCCTTTAAAATTCCACGACCTCCACCGGGTTTGAACCTGCGTACCACAAGTCATGATGTGGGGACGTTACCTCTAGACTACGGAGGCCGCTACAGTGAGTTAGTAAGTACTGGTAGGTACGTTAAAGATATGTGCATCATGCTTGTGTGATTGTTTAAGAAGAGAGAGAAGGAATAGTGAACAATAAAATTAAAAATTATATATTTACCTGGTGGAAAGCGTTTCAGTGACCTGTTAACATCCAGCACTACCTGATGATATTCTGCATGAGCTTCAAGTTCTTTATGAGTTGGCAGTTCTGTTGCTGCCTGTGTATCAAGTCCTAAGAGTTGTGGCCATACTCTTCTCCTCAGTGCATCTAGTGTACAAAAGTGACAACAGTTTCATGTTTAATTTTAATACAGGTATATTTGATATATCACAGGATCTGGGATAACATAGTCAGCATAGCAACTGGCTATGTGCTGGATGACCAAGGGTTCAGTAGGGTCAAGAATTTTCTCTTTTCCACGTTGTCCAAACTGGCTATGGGGCAACCCCCCAGCCTCCTATTCAATTTGTACAGTGGGTTCTTTCCCCAGGGGTGCAGCAGCCAGGGCATGAAGCTGACCACTCACCACTAACTAATGCCAAGGTCAAGAAAATGTGGATCTATACATCCACTCCCCCATATACCATCATGGCATAGTGCTTAATTAGTTAAGCACAGGGACAACTTTTACCTTTTATATTCTAATACATCCATATACACAATACATAAATGTCAGCTTCATGCTCCTGTCACCTTTCTTCTAGGAAACAGCCCTCATCATCCAGTAGATAAGAAAAAGGTAAAGATATCCTTGTAACAAGCTGTGGAGGCACACAAGGTTGTGAGACATCGAGGCTCCCACATTTTCTAGATAGTCAGCTCACAGACGGTGGTAAGGTTGTCAGCCTTACATGCCATCTGCCCTTTACCACTGGAAGATTCCTGGTAGTTATTTCTGTTAGAGTCAGAGTCGACCACAGGGCCACAGTGCAGCTGGATAGATTAAGTCAGTTAAAAAATGCAATCATCTCATTGACAATCGAATCCACAACCTTCCAGCACAGTGCCTTAAACAACTATGCTACCGCATGCCCCCATCCATAAGATAGGAACTAGGAAGAAATACAATTACCAAGAAATAATGCAAATTTTTTGCTATTTCTGTTGATATTACAAGTTGCTTTTGAAAGTTAACATATTATTTCTAACTACCCAGGTATGAAAAGTAATGCACAGAACTACATAATCATGATCACTGCTGCTCCTAATTAACTTGTACTATATATTTACAAACAAACGCCACACAAAAAAAACATAGTTAAAATTGCAAATATTTCACATAGTTATTAGTTCCCCTGCCTCAAGAGGAACGCAGAAGTACTGACAATTTGTAAAGTGCGTAAACTGACTAGGTTTAAAGGACACAAAGGAAAGTAAATTAAACTATGTGCAGTAAAGTAAAATATACTAAGCTAATCAAATCAAACATGACAAGGAAAGAGCAGTTGCCATGCAGCCTAAAACAGAACTACTAAATTCTGTGCAATGTTGGTATCTCTGTTATGAGCATGATGCAACAAGTGGAATGTGCAGGGCCTAAATCTACTTCACTTGGTATTATGATGTGCAAAACATAGTTCAAGCATTCACAATAAGTGGTTTTGTATCTCGATATAACTGCAATATTTAGTTCTGAATGCAAACCAGTAAATAGAGATTAAAATTACCATTAACAAGGCCACCCTCAGACAATGCCAAGGTCTTTAATTTTAAGGCATCAACTGGGTCCTCAGAAAGAGCAGCTTCTATCTCAGAACATTTTTCTCTCATTACTCTGGACAGAGGTGCTAAAAATAACATGAAACAACAGTATGAGAAAAAAACAGTGTAAAATGGTTCATAAAATATACATAAGTTATGATTTACCTCCTGAGCTCCACCACACAATCAGAATAGAAAACCACCTAACTACCTACCTACCTCTAGGGAGCTGAGCCCTTCTTCAGAAGCCGCCAGTTGTGAAGCTACTCAAGAGCTTCCTACAATTTTTTGAAACCTGAAGTTTCATTACCACGTTCACAACAGCCCTCCACTGGTCCCTTTTCTGGGGCAGATCAATCCAGTACATACCACCCCATCATCGTTCCCACCTCATGACTCAAGGTACGCGGGTTCAAACCCAGTGGAGGTCGTGGAATTTTTAAGGGCGGAAAAATTCAGGGAACAAATCCTCCGGGAGGGACTTTAAGCCATGGGTCCCATGTCGTAGATTTACGGCACGTAAAAGAACCTCATGTCTCTAGGAGACCTCTGAACTAAATTTGACAAAACGTTTCCAGCCCAAAGTAGTTTCCAATGCCTCCGGTAGATGGGGAAGTATTAGGTACCACTGCCAGAGGAGGGGGGACCTCTCTGACAGAAAGGGGCTAACTATTAGATACCACTGCCAGTAGAAGGTTGGAACCTCACTGGCAGAAAGGGGCTAATAGCGAGCACCAGTACCAGTAGGGTATGGAGATAGTAGAAATTAAAAGGGGGACGCACAATGTACCAATAACTGGTCTAAGTGCATGGGGAAACCCACCCCCTCAATACTGAATACCACCCCAACATATCTCTCTAAGATCCATTTTAGTATTATCCACCCACCTACATCTTGGTCTTCCTAGAGGTTCCTTCCTTCTGGCTTTCCCACTAATATCCTATATGCATTTTCTCCTCCACCTTTCTCCCTCCATCCCCATTCATGCTACATGACCTGACCTTCTCATCCTCTTTGACTTGATCATTCTAATTACACTTGGAGAAGAGTACAACTTATGAAGCTCCTCATTTTGCAGTTTCCTCCACCCTCCTGTCACTTCATCTCCCTTTGGTCCAAATATTCTTCTCAGCACCCCTTTCTCAAACACCCTCAGTCTACTGTTCCTCTCTTAATATCAGAGACAAAGTTACACACACAGAACCAGAGTCAAAATTGTAGTTTTCTATATTCTAATTTTTATGTTTTTAGACAGCAGACAAGAAGACGAAGGTTTCTGGACTGAATGGTAGCAAGCATTATCTGAATTCAATCTCCTCTTAATTTACTCCTGAATCAGGTTTTCATTTTTTATAGTCCTTCCCAAATATCTGAACTGTGATACATTTTCAAAACATCTGTTAGCTATCTTTAATTCATGATTTTGCCCTGCATTCTGGCAAGGAGACAACAACATATACTTACTTCCTTACTAGCATCAATTAAAGTTTGTGTGTTTTTCTTTTGGGTATCTACCACATATTATCACCCAGTTGATTCATATCATCATCATAGACCAACAGCTGATGTGTCTCATTTAATTTCATTCCCACCTGGTTTTCCTGGACCTTCCTAATGGCATATTCTAAAGCAAATTTGAAAAGCAGTGGCCACAAAGCATCTACTTGTTTTAGACCATTACAGATAGGAAAATTATGACACAAATGTTTACGTATACATACATTACTACACGTTTTGTTTAAACACATTTTAATCAGTTTAACTAGTTACATGGGTACCCCAAACTCTTAGCAGAATATAGTACAATACTTCCCTACTAAATGAATCATAGGCTTTCTTGAAGTCTACAAATAGCTGATGCACTATCTCATTGTACTCCCATTTTTTCTCCAGTATCTGATGATGTAAGACGACGTAAGAAGATGCTGGATGACCTTGGGACAGAAGAGGATACTGTCATTTGAAGGAGAAAGCTCTAGATTGCATTAAGTGGAGGAATTGTTTTGGAAGAGACTGTGGACCTGTCGTCTTGACAGATTGATGATGATGATGATGATGATGATGATCTGATGAATGCAAAAGATCTGATTAGAAACTGATCTGTCACGTTGAAACCCACACTGATGATCCCCAATAAATTCATCTATGTATGGACATAACCTTAAGAGAAGAATATTGTATACACTTTTGTATGAAGTTGATAGCAGTGATATCCAACGATAATTACCACAGTCAGTTTTATCACCCTTCCTGTGAACTGGTACACTAGCAGACTCCTTCCACTGACCAGGCAGTTTTCCCTTATTTCATACAGAATTAATTAGCTTATGGATCTTAGAATGTAATATTTCACCTCCTGCTTGAGTAAGTTCTACCTCGTGATTGATACCTTTTCAACTTTGCAATAGCAATTTCAACCTCAAAAGAGTCAGTATCAGGCACTAACACCTCAGCTGTATATCTACCTAACATCACTGATCCTTGTACATTCAATAACTGAGAGAAGCAGTTCTTCCACCTACTCAAAATGTGAGAATCTGCAAGCAGATTGCCATTCTCATCCTTCATTAAGTTACTTCCATGATGGTAACCCTTCTTAAATTAATTTAATCCTCTATACAGATCTCTAATGTTCTTGTTCTTACTGTTCATTGCAAGCTCATCATTTCTGTCTTTGAGATATTACTTCTTTTCATTCCTGAAACGGCTGCTGGTTTCACATTGTATAGTATTCCAGTCATCTGCATTTAGTTTGTTTGGATGAGAATTAAGGAGAATCAAAAAAAATAACCAAAAGCTATCCCTATAACAGACCTTGGAGGCCCATAAGGTTGTGAGACATCGAGGCTCCCACATTTTCTAGACAACTGGCTCAGAGTAGGCAGTGAGGTTGTCATCCTTACATGCAGGCCGTCCTTTAACACCCACTAAGATTCCTCATACTCATTTTTGTTAGAGGCTGAGTCGACCCCAGGGTCACAGTGCGCCTGGAAGGATTCGGTAAAGTAAAAAAGAATCCAATGACCTCGTCAGGAATTTAACCTGCAACCTTCCGGCTTACAGCATAGGCGCTCAACCAACTGCGTTACCAAGTGCCCCATCTTTTCATAACCGTTCTGTAAAATATGGTAAGCTGAAGTACAACAAAGTGAGCCCAGTATTATCGGCCACTGCTGCAGATGTATGCAACAAGAGTACTCTCTCAGCTGTGTGGACCAGTCTAATGATGGTCTACATTATGTTGGCTCAGTACATCTTTAGAACGTGGGAACACGGGTACATAAAAGATGAAGTTGCTCTTAAGTGGTAGAATGGGCCACCAACATAATAGTATGATTTTTGGAGTTCAAAAGAAGACATGCAAATGGAAGTATGTAAAACTGTGGGTCATGAATTATTAATTTTGCTGTAACACACTAAAACCATACCATACTACAATGCCAGTAGGAAGCTGCAGAGGACGATTTATGAGAGCTGAAGGTGAGGCAATGGAACCAAGATATATAACAGACAAATATGGACATGTCATGAAGGAGGCCACGGGTTCTAGGGAGCCATGTAGAAAATGCTACTAAAACCCAATCAATGCTCTAACCTAACCTGTTGCACTATAGCAAAAACCCAACCAAAGCACTAATCTAACATCTTATTATTAACTCTTGAAATTTTGGGACATATAACCAACCCCCTCACCCCAGTCAATTCAAATTTCTTGCTGACTGATTAGTCAGCGCCAACTACAGTTGCCACCTCAGAAGTGATGCACCCCAGCATCATACCAAGAATGTACACATCATCGTATCCTGGAAGTTAGACGTCTGCTCATTCCGTCAATAATAAACATAAAGTTTTAAGTGCAAGACAAAATAAGTAAATACCTTACTATAAAGTCCTCAAAATCGGGACATATAACCATCACCCTCACCCCGGCCGATTCAAATTTCTCGCCACCTAATCAAGCCAGAAGCAACCGTAGTTGCCGCTTCAGAAGGCATGCACCCCAATATTGTTATTTTTGTTGCTTCCACGTGGATCGAATGATAAGTGAGAATCAGTGTTCACTCTACTCCTGCTTTATTAAGACACTGAGATTTGATACAGAAGTACGCCTTATATATACATACAGGCTTATAACCATAGTAACACATAACAATATAAAGATACTGTTGTTACACACTTAACTGTGGTTACACATAACAGTAAACATCACTTAGGTAACAAGACATAACCTAGTTCTTAAATTGTTTACTATGATGTTGCCAACTCTAACATTATATTTCAGTATTTGAGAGTTACCAACATAACAAATATCACACCAAGTACGTACATATCATCGTATTCTGAAGGTTAGACGTCTGCCCATTTCGTCAATAATAAACTATAACATTTTAAGTGCATGGCAAACCAGGTAAATACCTTCGCCAAAACTGAGTTCTGCCGCAACACATCCATTCTGTTCTGCTGCTATTAACTCCTGCGGTCCCGAAAGTGCATTGACAGAATGGTTTTCTCTACCGTTGCTAATTTCATTCTGGTTCACACAGTCTTTATGCACTTTATCGCTGTCATCCTCAGAATACACGGGATCACTAATATTACTACCACTGTCTCCCTGAAGAGATAACGGACCTATTCTTACCGAACTTCCCATTGTCGACGTGGTGGACACACTTCACAACCCCCACTACAAATTAACCATGCATAGCGCACACAACATACAAACCATGTTAATGCATGAAATTATCAAGACGTCCTGTAACAGAATGAAAAAAGGGCAGTAATATTTCCCATCTACTCAATACGTAAACCTAATGACATCACACATTACACCTGATACAACAAACTGTGCGATCTTCATACTTTCGTGCACTGCTGGGCGCGTTCTCTAGCGCACACGTTTTGAAAATTAACCAAGGGCCTTCACACTCACCGTGTTTGACTAACAATTCAACTCGACATCGGCAAAATAATTCTAATTCCGATATGGAAACTTGATCATTCATTTCTTACGGGTTATTTTACGATACTGTCGGTTGTTTGGACTATATAGCGTAGAAGGATTGGATGAGAGGGGAATGATTAAAGAATTTAAAAGGTAGCAGTAGTCATACAAAGGACAGTTGCTTGACCAAGTGTGGGCGAGGGCACACTAAGAAGACTGGCAACCGCAACGCAACCGCAATTTATGAGAATTATTATCAGCAACGCAGTTTCCTCAATTGCAAAATTGCAAAAGTCAAACCCTTGTATAAGAAAGGAAGCGAAACAGATGTCGCTAACTATAGACCTATATCATTAATTTCTGTATTTTCAAAAATTATGGAAAAAGTTGTGTATAAAAGACTCTTATCATTCTTAAATATTTACAGCATAATCAATGACAAGCAGCATAGCTTCTGTAAAGGGAAAACAACAAAGACTGCAATCGCTGATTTTTTAGGGAAAGTATATAATTCATTGGATGAGAGGGAAATAGGTATAGGATTATTTTTGGATCTATCTAAAGCTTTTGACCTAGTCGATCACGATATACTGTTAAGGAAGCTGGAACGAATGGGAATACGAGGGGTTGCGCTTAAATTGAACTATGGGACGAGGTCTATTCTCAATTTGATGTAAATAGTGCCTATTGTGTTTTCTTAAGTAAGTTTCTTAAGTATTTTCTGCATATCTTCCCCTTAAAAAAGGTCTTTAGCAAGAAAGGGAAAAAATCAGGCTGGATCACTCAAGGGATAAAGGTTTCTAGACAGAGGCTGCAACTATTATATCTGTTAAAAAGAAAGATGGCTCTGTCTGTTCACACCTTGAACTATATAAAAAAATATCAGAGAATTTATAAAAAAGTAATTTCTGTTGCCCGTCAAAGAGAAAATGACCAAATCATTCAAAGATCAATCAATAATTCTAAAACTCTATGGCAAATAATAAAGAAGGAGTCAGGAAATGGCTTTACAGAAATTGAAAATATTTCATTAGAAATTGATTCTATGCTAGTTACAAATCCCCAGGATATATCCCATCAATTTAATGAATTTTTTGTAAATAGCGTGGACAGGTTGATACATTTAAATAGAAACTGTAAAAATGATCATGCCACTGTAAATGATATAATACTGAACCCAAATGTGTTATTTCTTGTCCCTGTTACTGAAGAAGAGGTTCTAAAGGTCACCAGTAAACTAAAAACAAAAATCTCAGCGGGTTTTGATGAGATCCCGGATATGATAGTTAAACAATGTATCCAATTCATAAAAAAGCCTTTGACTTTTATATTTAATCTGTCACTTAGCTCTGGTATCTTTCCTGATCAAATGAAGATTGCAAAAGTTCGACCCATTTTTAAAAAAGGTCAGAAACAAAATATTACCAATTATAGACCAATTTCAATTTTGTCTGTATTTTCCAAAATCCTTGAAACACTAATGTATAATAGAGTTGTAAACTTTTTAAATAAATTCAAATTGATATCGAATGCTCAAAATGGTTTCAGAAAGAATAAATCCACATTTACTGCAATTCAAACTTTTATTGGACAAATT